TGGCAATAAAATAACAAGTTCTCTGTTCGTTAATCACATCCCCAGGCCCCTATTATATTTCTCTGGCTTTCCACTTTGAATTTTTATTCTTACAAAAAATAGAAGATTTAGTGTTATGCAGACTATTACATTAGTGTAGAAATGGTATAAATAATATCAGCGCACTTGTGAAAGAATATTAGACTCACCAGTTGACGTGTATTGGACGCTTGGCATGATTTGTTTACTTTTGAACCTTGGTAAAAATCGAACATTTCTGCTACTTTGAGTTCAATTTCAAGGTACTTTTCATTGTAAAACCAGTCAAAATCATCTCAATTTTTGTAATATGTCTTCCATTCTATAAAATGAGACCAGAAAAACTAGAATACAACAATAAATACCATACGAAAATACAGTGCAGAGTCGCTGTTTTAATCCAAAAACTCGGTGAAAGTTTTTTTTTTTCTCATTATGCAGTGTGTGCTGCAGGATTTTTATACTGCGCACACTGACCACATAGACCCATTCTTTCATATGTAGGCCTACCAGCTTTCTCTCAATAGATTTGAGGGCTCTAGAATTTAGGCGTACTAGTACGTCAAAAACCCTGGGGCGTAAGCCGTACTAGTACGGCCGAAACCCTGAAAGGGTTAATGACAACATTCTTCATAGTTACCAATCAGGGTTTAGGAGATCTTACTCAACCGACACCTCCCTGATTAATCTGATGGATTACATGAGAACTGAAATTTCGATAGGGAACCTCGTAGGAATGGTAACCTTAGATTTGCAAAAGGCCTTCGATACTGTCAACCACAATAGATTTTGTAAGAAACTTCAAGCTATTGGCATAGGTTCCATAGACTGGTTTAAGTCCTATTTTAGCAACAGGAAACAAATTGTCAAAATCAGGAAAACAGAATCAGAATCCCTGCCGATAGCATGTGGAGTTCCCCAAGGTAGTATTCTGGGTCCCTTATTATTTCTATGTTATGTAAACAACATGCCCATCAGTGTCAAGTGCAAACTCCTACTGTATGCAGATGACAGTCATCTGTTATTGTTAGGTAAAAACCCACAAGATCTAACTAATGTAATCATGCTAGAACTGGAGTCCTACAGCAAATGGTTAGTAGACAACAAACTATCGTTACTCCTTGGGAAAACAATAGCCATGCGCTTTGGCACGAAACATAAACTGAGAAGGGGAAATAATTTTAATGTCCGGTGTAATGGGGAACCCATCACTTCAGTTTCCTTAGTAAAATATCTGGGAGTCTTCTCTGACCCATGCATCAGGGAAATTGATAGGGAACAGTGTAGTAAAGAAACTGAATGCCAGACTGAAGTTTCTCTACAGACAAGCACATTGTCTACCTATTGAGGCTCACAGGACCCTATGTCTAGCCTTTATACAATGTCATATGGGCTACGCTTGCTTTTCATGGTACTCTGCCTTGACAAAAACCTAAAAGATAAACTGCAGATTACCCAGAACAATATGGTAAGATTCATCCTGGACCTGGGTTCAAGAGAACATGTAGGCCAGAATGAATTACAGCAGTTAGATATACTGAATGTTGAAGGCAGAGTAAAACAACTGAAGCTAAATCAAGTTTATAAAATTGGTCACAAACAGTGTCCAGAATATCTTGCTGCCAATTTTGTCAAGGCTGAGAACCAAAGCAATCATAGTACTAAGGGGGAGAGAGCACAACCTTATAGTACCCACAGTCATTAGACAGGCTTCGAACACCTTTTATTGTACAGCAATAAAGGAATGGAAGAGACTGCCTGCACGTCAAAGCAAGTCATAGCATGAACCAGTTCAAGAAGAGAGCCAAAAGGTGCCTAATGAATGTAATGACAGAAAGGGAGGAGAAGGATTTTTCATTTTTTTAGCTAACATGCACATAAATATAAATGTAGTGGACCCTCAGTTATCAGCCGTTCCAGATATCGGCCAATTCAGTTATTGCCCAGTTTATTGACTTAAATTTTATCCTGGTATGTCTGTTTTATAAATATGCAAGATTACGGGTACGTGTTGCTACTTCTACTTACACAAGTCACACTACACATACATTTTTTTTTTTTTATCACACTGGCCGATTCCCACCAAGGCAGGGTGGCCCGAAAAAGAAAAACTTTCACCATCATTCTCTCCATCACTGTCTTGCCAGAAGGGTGCTTTACACTACAGTTTTTAAAGCACCCTTCTGGCAAGACAGTGATGGAGTGAATGATGGTGAAAGTTTTTCTTTTTCGGGCCACCCTGCCTTGGTGGGAATCGGCCAGTGTAATAAAAAAAAAAAAAAAATATGTGTGGTGTGACTTGTGTAAGTAGAAGTAGCAAGACGTACACATACATGTACATGTTTATTTATACACACTCATCTGAGTTTTCTTTGATTTTATCTTAATAGTTCTTGTTCTTATTACTTTTCCTTTTATATCCATGGGGAAGTGGAATAAGAATCTTTCCTCCACAAGCCATGCATGTTGTAAAAGTCAACTAAAATACCAGAACAGTGGGCTAGTAACCCCTTTTCCTGTACAGATTACTTAAAAGAAGAAAATTGTCAAAGTGGGATGTGTGAATGTGTGTGGATGTTGTGCGAATGGTAAGAAAGAGATGATTGTGGATGCTGTGAATGAGAAGCTGGATGTCCTGGCTTCAAGTGAAACAAAGCTGAAGGGGGTGGGAGAGTTTCAGTGGAGAGAAGTAAATGGGATTAGGTCAGGGGTTTCAAATAGAGTTAGAGCTAAAGAAGGAGTAGCAATAATTTTGAACGATATGCTATGGCAGGAAAAGAGGGAGTATAAATGTATTAATTCAAGGATTATGTGGAGTAAAATAAAGGTTGGATATGAAAAGTGGGTTACAGTAAGCGTATATGCACCTGGAGAAGAGAGAAGTGTAGAGGAGAGAGAGAGAGAGAGATTTTGGGAATTGTTGAGTGAGTGGGTGGGGAGTTTTGAACCAAGTGTGAGAGTACTTGTGGTTGAGGATTTCAATGCTAAAATGAGTAAAAATGTTGTGGAAGGAATGGTAGGTAAATTTGGGGTGCCAGGGTAAATGAAAATGGGGAGCCTTTAATTGAGCTATGTGTAAAAAGAGGTTTGGTAATAAATAATACATATTTTATGAAAAAGAGGATAAATAAATATACAAGGTATGATATAGCACGTAATGAAAGTAGTTTGTCAAATTATATATTGGTGGTTGAAAGGTTGATGGGTAGGCTTCAGGATGTACACGTTTATAGAGGGGGCAACTTATATATCGGATCATTATTTAGTTGTAGCTACAGTTAGAGTAAGAGGTAGATGGGACAAAAGGAAAATGGCAACAACAAGTAAGAGAGAGGTGAAAGTCTATAAACTAATGGAGGAAGAAGTTTGGGTGAGATATAAGCAACTATTGGCAGAAAGGGGGAAAGGGGGAAGTTGGGTGGGGGGGGGGGGGGGTTGAAGAGGGTTGGAATTTTTTTAAAAATTTTGGTATTGAATTGGGGCAGAAGTTTGGGGGTTATAGGGGGGGGGGTGCTGGGGGAAAGAGAATGTTTTGGGGGAATGTGAAGAAAAGGGTGTCAAAAAAAGGGAAAAAAGGTGCTTATGAGGGGTTTTTTTACAAAGCGAAGTGTTATGAAGGAGAGTTTGGAGAGAAAAAGAAAGGTAAAGAAATGGTGAGAGAGTGAAAAAGGGAGCAGATGATGAGTGGGAGAGGACTGTCAAAATTTTTGTGAAATAAGAAAAAAATTTGGATTGAGATAATTTAAGAAACCCTAGGGGACGAATGGATTTTTTATTTAAAAAAACGAGTGGGGGGAGTTAGTAGATGGGGAGATGGAGATACAGTGGCCCCCCGATAACGGGGCATCACATGCGATTTTTCCGATACCGCTTTCTTTTATCGAAAATTTTTCCCCGCGCATCCCGATTAAAAACCCGCTCACCGATTTTCGCCCGAGACGCGCCCAAAATTTGTGCCTCAGCAGCCTCACTTTGTGCCGCCGTCCCATGTTACCAGCCAGCCTCGCGGTAACACCAAGCATTACACTCGGAATATTTCTATTATTAGTGTTTTCGGTGCTGTTCTGAAAATAAGTGGACCATGGGCCAAAGGAAAGATTTAGTGCCAACCACTGTGGTAAAAAAGGGTGAGAATTAGTATGGAAATTAAGAAAGAATTTTGAGGTTTGGAGGCTAACCTGAGAAGCCTATGCCAGGTTGGGAATCATTGTGCTCTTCAAGATTAGAAATGTGTGCGGGGGGGTTGAAACTGCAAACCTTTATGATGAAAATCACCCGACCAGTGTTGCAAGCGTGCTGGTGACTATTCAATGACAATGTTTGTGGCCATTTTAGGACAAATCGTAAAGGGAACTGGGAGGTACAGAGCTCTATGGACAGTTTGTTGTGCGAAGAGGTCAGTACTCTCAAGTGGTCTAGTGGCATTAAAAGAAGAGGGAAGTAAACCCTCGGAAAAGGACTTCTACCTCAAGTCGTAATGGAAGGGATTCACCCTTCTAAACGTAAGAAGATAATGCTCTCCCTTCATCCATCAATAATCACCAGATATCAATAAAGTATGTGTCATGTAAAGTGTGCATGCCTTTTTCAGTTTGTGTGTATTAAAATTAATATTTCATGTGGTAAAAAAATTTTTTTTTCATATTTTGGGTTCTGCACTGATTAATTTTATTTCCATTATTCTTATGGGGAATTCGTTACATAACGATTATTTCGCTAACAATACCATCTTGCACGGATTAAAATCGTTAACCGGGGGTCCACTGTATTGGGTAGATGGCAGGAATATTTTCAGGAACTTTTACATGTCGATGAAGAAAGGGAGGAGGTAATGTCATGCACTGGTCAGGGAGGTATACCATCTTTTAGGAGTGAAGAAGAGCAAGATGTGAGTGTGGGGGAGGTGTGTGAGGCATTACGTAGAATGAAACGGGGTAAAGCAGCTGGAACTGACTGGATCATGACAGAAATGTTAAACGCAGGGAGAGGGGAATGTGTTAGAGTGGTTAGTATTTTTGTTTAATAAATTTATGAAAGAGGGGAAGGTTCCTAGGGATTGGCAGAGAGCATGTATAGTTCCTTTATATAAAGGGAAAAGGGACAAAAGAGATTGGAAAAATTATAGAGGAATTAGTTTACAGAGTATACCAGGAAAAGTGTACGGTAGGGTTATAGTTGAAAGAATTAGAGGTAACACAGAATGTAGGATTGTGGATGAGCAAGGAGGTTTTGGAATGGATAGGGGATGTGTAGATCAAGTGTTTACATTGAAGCATATTTGTGAACAGTATTTAGATAAAGGTAGGGAAGTTTACATTGCATTTATGGATTTAGAAAAGGCATGTGATAGAGTGGATAGGGGAGCAATGTGGCAGATGTTGCAAGTATATGGAATAGGTAGTAAGTTACTAAATGCTGTAAAGAGTTTTTATGAGGATAGTGAGGCTCAGGTTAGGGTGTGTAGAAGAGAGGGAGACTACTTCCTGGTAAAGGTGGGTCTTAGACTAGGATGTGTAATGTCACCATGGTTGTTTAATATATTTATAGATGGGGCTGTAAAAGAAGTAACTGCTAGGGTGTTTGGGAGAGGGGTGGGATTAAATTATGGGGAATCAAATACAAAATGGGAATTGACACAGTTACTTTTTGCTGATGATACTGTGCTTATGGGAGATTCTAAAGAAAAGTTGAAAAGGTTAGTGGACGAGTTCGGGAGTGTGTGTAAAGGTAGAAGGTTGAAAGTGAACAAAGAAAATAGTAAGGTGATGAGGGTATCAAATGATTTAGATAAAGAAAAATTAGATGTCAAATTGGAGAGGAGTATGGAAGAAGTGGTTTGGTCATTAGAGAGAATGAATCAAAGTAGAATGGCATGGAGAGCATATAAATCTCTAGGGGAAGGAAGGCGGGGTAGGGATCGTCCTCGAAAAGGTTGGAGGGAGGCGGTGAAGGAGGTTTTGTGGGTGAGGGTCTTGAACTTCCAGCAAGCGTGAGTGAGTGTGTTAGGAGTGAATGGAGATGAATGGTATTTGGGACCTGACGAGCTGTTGGAGTGTAAGCAGGTTAATATTTAGTGAATGGATTCAGGGAAACCGGTTATTTTTATATAGCTGGACTTGAGTATTGGAAATGGGAAGTACAATGCCTGCACTTTAAAGGAGGTGTTTGGGATATTGGCAATTTGGAGGGATATGTTGTGTATCTTTATTCGTATATGCTTCTGAACTGTTGTGTTCTGGGCACCTCTGAAAAACAGTGATTATGTTTGTGTGAGGTGAAAGTGTTGAATGATGATGAAAGTATTTTCTTTTTGGGGATTTTCTTTTTGGGTCACCCTCCTTGGTGGGAGATGGTCAACTTTTTTAAAAAAAAAAAAAAAAAGCCATTATTTCTGTTATCTGCTGTATTGGATGCGTCCACCCGTAGCAAAGTATGAAAGTGAAGGAGGAAAAGAGAGGGGAGAATGTACCTTTTTCAGTGATTCTACAATATGTATGATACTAAAGCAGCAGGAGCCGATAAAGGCTTTAGCACCAGCCAGCGATAAGCGTAGCATTAACAGTGTAGCAAGTAAGTTAAGTGATTAACCCTTCAACTGCTGAAACGTAGATTTATGTTTGCACTGCTAGCGCTCCAAACGTAGATCTGTGTTTCATTTTACATGCTTTCATGCTTTCAAATGTAAAAAAACAACATAGGTCTATGTTTGGAGCGCTAGCGGTGCAAACGTAGATTTACGTTTGGACAGTTTAAGGGTTAAGTGATAGAAAAAGGATGACATAAAACTGACTCCTCCAATGTTGTTGGAGGTATAAAGGGCCACTGACAATATGCATTGCCCTGCCTATCTTCCACCACCATAAATCAATGCCAGCATCTCCTCCAAGGTACAGTAAGTGTAATATTTCTTATTTATGAAGTGTAATTATTTCTTATTAATAAATTAGCCTGTAAACAGTCCAAATGTATATATGTATACATTCTTTCTGCTAGCGCCCCAAACATGTATTTATGTTTTATTTTTCCTGCCTCCAAATTTGGCACGATTGGCCTGAGATGCCTGGCCAGCATAGAATGGGTCTTAACACTTGGTGTGTGCAATATTAAAAAAATCTGGGGCCACTTAGTACCTTGTGGGAGCGCCAGTTAAATTGAGTGCCAGCTAGAGCAAACAGCACGGCAAACACCAAGGATTCACTGATGTCATGGCGTATTAACACTCCCCTTTTATGAGGAAAGTTATGTTGACCCCAAGTTTAGTGGCTTTCAGGTGGATGTGGCTACAAGTGGCCACATCCATATGTGCAACATTTGTGCAACTCCCTTTCAATTTTGGTACCACTGGTAGTCATCCTGTAACCTATGCCCTAAGTAAAAAGAAAAAATTCTGGAACATGTAATACGTGTTCAGCAGGCTGGCTGGCCAGCTGACTGGCTCTGTCTCCATCTGTCTGTCTGTATGTATCTCTATCTCTTTGTCTATCTGTCTCTATCTGTCTCTGTCTCATAGGAGCACATACATAAATAAAATTATACATAGTGTAAATTACCTAGGATAACCCCAAAAATTCAGACAAAGTGTTATACTGTGCTTGTAGATAGTGATTGTGTGTAATACCAGCTGGTTCATGAGCAACTCTCTGTGACAAGAGAGACAAGCAGACAGAAAGAGACACACAGGCAGACAGAAGGACAGACACACAGACAGATAGACAGAGAGACAAACAGACAGACATGTTTATATACAACAGTGAAAAATGAAGCAAGGCAGTTTTTTTTTTTTCAACAAGTCGACCGTCTCCCACCGAGGCAGGGTGACCCAAAAAAGAAAGAAAATCCCCAAAAAGAAAATACTTTCATCATCATTCAACACTTTCACCACACTCACACATTATCACTGCTTTTGCAGAGGTGCTCAGAATACAACAGTTTAGAAGCTATATACGTATAAAGATACACAACATATCCCTCCAAACTGCCAATATCCCCAACCCCTCCTTTAAAGTGCAGGCATTGTACTTCCCATTTCCAGGACTCAAGTCCGACTATATGAAAATAACCGGTTTCCCTGAATCCCTTCACTAAATATTACCCTGCTAAACACTCCAACAGATCGTCAGGTCCCAAGTATCATTTCGTCTCCATTCACTCCTATCTAACATGCTCATGCACGCTTGCTGGAAGTCCACGCCCCTCGCCCACAAAACCTCCTTTACCCCTCTTTCCAACCCTTTTGAGGAGACCCCTCCCCCTCCTTCCTTCCCCTTTAGATTTATATGCTTTCCATGTCATTCTACTTTGATCCATTCTCTCTAAATGACCCAAACCACCTCAACAACCCCTCTTCTGGGCCCCCTGACTAATGCTTTTATTAACTCCACACCTTCTCCTAATTTCCACACTCCGAATTTTCTGTTATTTTTTTCACCACACATTGCCCTTAGACAGGACTCCCCATGCCCCCAACTGTCCCCTCGTGCTGCATTTACCCCCAAAAGTTTCCACCCATAAAAGAGTGTTGGTATACTATACTTTCATTCATTCCTTTTTTGCCCCATAGAAAACTTTTTTTTGACTCCACATATACCTCAAGCACCACTCCCTTTTTTCCCTCACAATTCTATGATTACCTCACCCTTTCATAAATCCATTCCCAAAAGTCAACCCCCAAAGTATCTGAAAACATTCACCTTCCATACTTTTTCCCCCCAATTTGTATTCATTTTTTCTTTATCAAATCATTTGATACCCTCATCACTTACTTTTTCTTGTTCACTTTCACTTTTCCTTTACACACTTCCCAAAAATCATCCACAAACCCTTTGAAATTTTTCTTTAGAATCTCCATAAGACAGTTCATCAGCAAAAAGTAACTTTCACCCAAAAACCCAAAACCCCCCTTTAAACCCCTAGCATTTATTTTTTTAAACCCCATCTATAAATATATTAAAAAAAACATGGTGACATTACACACCCTGTCTAAGACCTACTTTTACCGGGAAGTATTCCCCCTCTCTTCTACACCCCCAAAACCTGAGCCTCATATCCTCATAAAGCTTTTACAGTTTTTGTAACTTCCCACCTTTTCCCATATACTTGAAATCTGCCACATTGCCCCTCTATCCACTCTATCAATCCCTTTTTAAAATCCATAAATGCAAAAAAAATTTTCCCTCCTTTATCAAAATACTGTTCACATATATGCTTCAAGAAACACTTGATCTCACCCCCCTACCCACTTGAACCCCCCCCCCCCCCTCCCTGCTCTGCAACCCCAATTCTGTCTTTCAATTTTTTTTTTAACCCTCGTATATTTTTCCGGGTATATCAGAAAATTTTATTCCCCTATAATTTTTACAATCTCTTTTGCCCCCTTTCCCTTTATATAAAGGGACTTACATGCTCTCCGCCAATCCCTAGGTCCTTTCCCCCTCTTTCATACATTTATTAAACAAAAGTACCAACCACTCAACACTATCCCCCCCCTGCTTTTAACATTTCTTATGATCCCATCATTTCCCAGCGGGTTTTCCCCCCTTTCTTCTGTAATGCCTCAGTACCCCCCCCCACATTACTTTCGCTTTTTTCCTCCTAAAAGTGTTTATACCTCCCTGGCCAGTGATGAAATTACCACCTTTTTTTCTTCCCAAAAAAAAACCAAAATATTTCCATCTACCTAATACTCCCTCTCCCCATCACTAATCCTCTACTCTTTTTTTAATGAAAACCAAACTTTCCTGGCTTTTTTAATTTGTTTAATCCAAATTTTTTTTATTTTCATTAAAATTTTTTGCAGTGCCTTCCCACTCTATCATTGCTCCCCTTTTGCACTCTTTCACTACTTCTTTACCTTTTTTTTTGCTTCCTATACTCTGCTCTTCTCATAAACTTTGCTTCGTAAAAAACCCCTTTATAAGCTACCTTTTTTTTTTATCACACCCTTTACTTCCCTTCCACCAACATCTTCTTTCCCCCTGCCCCCCTTCTTACCCAAACTCCTGCCCCAATTTAATACTGCATTTCTAAAAGTATTTAAACCCCTCTTCAATCCCCCCCCTATCATATTGACTAGACCACCTTTCTGCCAGTAGTTGCTTATATCTCACCCTGACTTTCCCCCTCCCTAAGTTTATACCTTTCACCCTTCTTGTTGTTTCCCTTTTTCTTTTGTCCCCCTCGCCTCTTACTTAACTGGGCAAAAAATAGATAATGACGATAATCAGTTTCCCCTCTATAAACATGTAATCCTGAAGCCTACCCATCAACCTTTTAACCACCAAAACATTTAAACTAAAAAACTACTTTCTTATGTGCTACATATACCTTGTATACTTATCTCTTTTTATAAAATATATTACTTTTACCAAACCTCTTTCTACACATAGGTCAATTAAAAACTCCCTATTTTCATTTACCCCTGGCACCCCAAATTTACCTACCACTCCCTCCACAAGATTTTTACCCATTTTTGCATTGAAATCCTCAACCACAAGTACTCTCACACTTGGTTCAAAACTCCCCACGCATTTACTCAACATTTCCCAAAATCTCTGTCCTCTACACTTCTCTCTTCTCCAAGTGCCTAAATGCTTATTATAACCCACTTTTCACATCCAACCCTTATTTTTCTCCACATATTCCTTGAATTATTACATTTATATTCCCTCTTTTCCTGCCATAACTTATCCTTCAACATTATTGCTACTCCTTCTTTAGCTCTATTTGTAATGCCAGATATAATCCCATTTATTTCTCCCCACTGAAACTCTCCCACCCCCTTCAGCTTTGTTTCACTTAAAGCGAGGACATCCAGCTTCTCATTCACAAAATCCACAATCATCTCATTCTTATCATTCACACAACACCCATGCACATTCAAACATCCCACTTTGATGGTTTTCTTATTTTTCCTTTTAGTAGGCTATACAGGAAATGGGGTTACTAGCCCATTGTTCCCGGCATTTTAGTTGACTTTTACAACACGCATGGCTTACGGAGGAAAGATTCATATTCTACTTCCCCATGGATATAAAAGGAAAAGCAATAAGAACAAGAACTATTAACATAAAATCAAAGAAAACTCAGATGAGTGTGTATATATAAACGTGTACATGTATGTGCAGTGTGATCTAAGTGTAAGTAAAAGTAACAAGACGTACCTGAAATCATGCATGTTTTTTTTTTTAACAAACCAGCTGTATCCCACCAAGGCAGGGTGGCCCAAAAAGAAAAATGAAAGTTTCTCTTTTTAAATTTAGTAATTTATACAAGAGAAGGGGTTACTAGCCCCTTGCCCCCGGCATTTTAGTCGCCTCTTACAACACACATGGCTTATGGAGGAAGAATTCTGTTCCACTTCCCAATGGAGATAAGAGGAAATAAACAAGAACAAGAACTAGAAAGAAAATAGCAGAAAACCCAGAGGGGTGTTTATATATATGCTTGTACATGTATGTGTAGTGTGACTTAAGTGTAAGTAGAAGTAGCAAAACGTACCTGTATTCTTGCAAATTTATGAGACAGAAAAAAGACACCAGCAATCCTATCATCATGTAAAACAATTACAGGCTTTCATTTTACACTCACTTGCCAGGACAGTAGTACTTCCCTGGGTGGTTGCTGTCTACCAACCTACTACCTATAAAATAGGCTAAAAAAAGGTAATGTTTGACCTGGTGACCATCAGGGCCCCTGTGCTGGGTCTCACTGGGTCTCAACTGAGGTTCCACTTTACAATATAAAATTAATAATAAAAAATTCCTGTATGAATCATTCGCTGAGGTTGCATACAAAATGGTGGTATCTTCGAGATTGCATGATTTTGAGCTATAATAAGCCAAATTTTATTGTCTTAACTTATTTTAGCTATTTATTAGTGTTTTGGAAAAACTTAGTTCTTCTACTGCATCTCAGTACCGATGTGGACTTGTGAAGCTGGTTTGCCCTATTGATGTGACACTATTTCACAGTAATGCACAGCCAGGGAGAGCCATCAATTTATTATTTGATCTCTAAACATTTTTTCTCATATCATTGACAAGATGCTAGTTTTTGCTTATTTTTTGGGGAAGTTAAGGAAGTTTGGGTGAGCTTCCAAAACGCACTGAACTGCAGGTTTAAATAAAGACATGCTTAGTGTTAAAATGCTAAGGTGTAAATTTAGTAAATCTGTGGTACAGTCTGTTATTACTGTATGGATATGTAAATGTCTTACATATTATTGCATCATTTAGGCAACATTGGATGGAAATTAAAGATGGAGGGTAGCATCACCAACCCTGGATCAGGGAAAAGAGGATCAGCATTACAGGGTATACTTGGGCTGTTCCCTGCCATCCACACTAGACACAAGAATCCTCTCCACACACAAGGTATCCCTCGAGGTACTGTTAGTTTTTTTTTTTTATAAGGATAGATTTGCTCCCCATTTCGTATTTCATAAATAATTTTACCTAAGAATAAAAAAATTACTTCATTACAGTGTCTTTTATTTCCCTAAGATGATAACAGATGATCATGGAGTGAAAGGTTTTTGGGTTTTTACAGGAAAAAGGTAATAATGGCAAAAAATAGACCTGTAATAAGTGGGGTAAACTAGAAGGGATTGATTAAATGACTTTTATAAGTAAATAAAGAAAGGGTGATTTTTTTGGGAAGTTGACTTGAGCGTTATGACCAATGTAGAATAAAAAAAATTTTTGAAAAAAGTAAAACTTTGTTACAAAAAAAAGATTGCAGTTGTAGGGTTAAAATTTTATTTCACTTGTAATAATATTTTGGCCCCAGCACTCAACAGCCATTTATATGTTTAAAAATCTCAAAAACCATCTGCAGTAGCTAAAATCATTCTAGTGTTTTTCATTTAGCTTCATTTTTATTTTTAACTTTTTTATTATTTGAAACATTTATTATCAAAAAAATTTTGTATAAGTTTTTCATGCTGGTTATGAATGGGGTTGGGGATTTTGCGTATAGGGTAATCCTATTGTGTGCCACCACTTATGAAGACAGTGACTAGGAATTTTGGGTAAATGTGTTTTTCTTTGAGTCCCTTGCCCTGGAGAGGCCCTTGAGTAAAAAAAAATTTGAAGATTTTCACTGTGCTTTTTTCTGTCTGATCATAAAAAAGAAATGATGCTTCCCTTAAAGAATGTACCTTCATAATTTAAAATATCTGTTGTAACTAAAATTTAATTTTATTAAGTATTTGATTTTGTTATATATATTCTATAAAATTTAAAAATAGTATAAAAAAAATTTGAACTTTTATATTTTTTAGAATTTTTTAAATCATACTTAAAATATATCCCTAAATATGCAACTTTGTTTTGCAATATCATCTCTCCCCACTTGCAGAGTTGATGGTTACTACTTCCAGACGTAATTGACATTTAAATTTAACCCTCTTTTTCCTAAAACCAGTAAAAAAGGGTTCAGATTTTTCTAAAATTGTGAAAGGATTTAACGCTTTTAAATTTCCCCCTATTTTTTTTTTTTTTTTTTTTTTTTTTTTCAAAAAAGTCGGTTGTCTCCCCCCGAGCGGGGGGGCCCAAAAAGAAAGAAATCCCCAAAAAAAAAATACTTTTATCATCATTCAAAAACTTTCACCACATCACACATTATCATGCTTTTGCAGAGGGCCCCGAAAACAAAAAGTTTTTTAAAACATATACTTAAAGTACACAAAATATCCCTCCAAAAAAGCCAATATCCCAAACCCCTCCTTAAAGTGCAGGATTGTACTTCCCATTTTCCCGGATCAAATCCGACTATATAAAAAAAACCCCTTTCCCCAATCCCTTTACTAAAATTACCCTGCTCACACTCCAACAGATCGTCAGGCCCAAGTACTTTGTTTCCCCTTCACTCCCACTAACACGCTAAGCTTGCTGGAAGTCCAAGCCCCTCGCCCCCCAAAATCCTTTACCCCCTCTTTCTAACCCTTTCGAGGACGACCCCTCCCCCCCCTTTTTCCCCCATAGATTTATATGCTTTCCCTGTCTTTTTACTTTTATCCATTCTCTTAAATGACCAAACCACCTCAAAAACCCTCTTCACCCCCGACAATACTTTTATTAACTCCCAAACCCTTTTCCCCAATTTCCACACTCCCCAATTTTTCTGCATAATATTTAACCACCCTTGCCCTTAAAAGGAATCTCCACTGCCTCCAAACCTCTCCTCGCTGTCATTTACCACCCCAAATTCACATCCATATAAAGTGTTGGACTACTAACTTTTTGTTTTTTTTATGAGAATAATTTCCCTTTGTACAGAGTTTGGGGACCGATGGCAGTGCATTTTAGTGCCGGTTTTCCCTTCCCCACTATACCCCTTTCCAAAAATTTTGCAAGCAGCACGCAAAAAAAATAACATGAGAACTCAAGATTAAACTATAAAAAAAATTTAGGGGGTTTATTAAGTTGAATGATTTTGGAAAAGGGTTACGTGAAGTAGTAGCCTTTATGAATTAATTTAATAAAGGGCCCCCGCAATGACTGCATCAGGGACAAGATAGGCCCACTAAAAGTTAAATTGGGTCAGCTCACGGACATGATAAGGAAATGTGTATAATTTTTAAAACATCTACCTTCCCGTTTTTTCACAAAATCTACGAAAATTTCCCGAAAAAATAAATTATGTAGAACGGATGATGATAAACCCTGCATGATTAGGGGCACAAGTGACATAGCCTTAGGGAAATAGATAAATTAAAAACCCAACAGATCCCCCAAACCCTGATGAAATGTATGCAAGGGTTTTAAAAAAATGTAAAGAGGAACTTAGCATACCTCTGGCTAATCTTTTCAACATATCACTACAGACTGGCATGGTGCCAGATAAGTGGAAAATGGCAAATGTGATACTATTTTCAAAGCAGGTGACAGGTCCTTAGCTTCGAACTATAGACCAATAAGCCTAACCTCTATAGTGGGAAAATTTATGGAATCAATAATTGCCGAGGCAGTTCGTAGCCACCTTGAAAAGCATAAATTAATCAACGAATCTCAGCTTGGTTTTACAAAGGGGCGTTCCTGCCTTACGAATTTATTAACTTTTTTTCACTAAGGTATTTGAGGAGGTAGATCATGGTAATGAATATGATATTGTGTATATGGACTTCAGTAAGGCTTTTGACAGGGTCCCACACCAGAGACTATTGAGGAAAATTAAGGCACATGGAATAGGAGGAGAAATTTTTTCCTGGATAGAGGCATGGTTGACAAATAGGCAGCAGAGAGTTTGCATAAATGGGGAGAAATCAGAGTGGGGAAGCGTCACGAGCGGTGTTCCACGGGTCAGTGTTGGGCCCCCTGTTGTTCACAATCTACATAAACGACATTGATGAGGGCATAAAGAGCGACATAAGCAAGTTTGCCGATTACACCAAAATAGGCCGTCGAATTCATTCTGACGAGGACATTAGAGCGCTCCAGGATGATTTGAATAGACTGAGGCAGTGGTCGGAGAAGTGACAGATGCAGTTTAATATAGACAAATGCAAAGTTCTAAATGTTGGACAGGAAAATAACCATGCCACATATAAACTAAATAATGTAGATCTTAATATTACGGATTGTGAAAAGGATTTAGGAGTTCTGGTTAGCAGTAATCTGAAACTAAGACAACAGTGCATAAGTGTTCGCAATAAAGCTAGCAGAATCCTTGGCTTCATATCAAGAAGCATAAATAATAGGAGTCTTCAGGTTGTTCTTCAACTCTATATATCCTTGATTAGGCCTCATTTAGATTATGCTGCACAGTTTTGGTCACCATATTACAGAATGGATATAAATGCTCTGGAAAACATACAAAGGAGGATGACAAAGTTGATCCCATGTATCAGAAATCTTCCCTATGAGGATAGACTGAGGGCTCTGAATCTGCACTCTCTAGAAAGGCGTAGAACCAGGGGGATATGATTGAGTTGTATAAATGGAAGACAGGAATAAATAATTATGGGGAATCAAATTCAAAATGGGAATTGACACAGTTACTTTTTGCTGATGATACTGTGCTTATGGGAGATTCTAAAGAAAAATTGCAAAGGTTAGTGGATGAGTTTGAGAATGTGTGTAAAGGTAGAAAGTTGAAAGTGAACATAGAAAAGAGTAAGGTGATGAGGGTATCAAATGATTTAGATAAAGAAAAATTGGATATCAAATTGGGGAGGAGGAGTATGGAAGAAGTGAATGTTTTCAGATACTTGGGAGTTGACGTGTCGGCGGATGGATTTATGAAGGATGAGGTTAATCATAGAATTGATGAGGGAAAAAAGGTGAGTGGTGCGTTGAGGTATATGTGGAGTCAAAAAACGTTATCTATGGAGGCAAAGAAGGGAATGTATGAAAGTATAGTAGTACCAACACTCTTATATGGATGTGAAGCTTGGGTGGTAAATGCAGCAGCGAGGAGACGGTTGGAGGCAGTGGAGATGTCCTGTCTAAGGGCAATGTGTGGTGTAAATATTATGCAGAAAATTCGGAGTGTGGAAATTAGGAGAAGGTGTGGAGTTAATAAAAGCATTAGTCAGAGGGCAGAAGAGGGGTTGTAGAGGTGGTTTGGTCATTTAGAGAGAATGGATCAAAGTAGAATGACATGGAAAGCATATAAATCTATAGGGGAAGGAAAGAGGGGTAGGGGTCGTCCTCGAAAGGGTTGGAAAGAGGGGGTTAAAGGAGGTTTGTGGGCGAGGGGGTTGGACTTCCAGCAAGCTTGCATGAGCGTGTTAGATAGGAGTGAATGGAGACGAATGATACTTGGGACCTGACGATCTGTTGGAGTGTGAGCAGGGTAATATTTAGTGAAGGGATTCAGGGAAACCGGTTATTTTCATATAGTCGGACTTGAGTCCTGGAAATGGGAAGTACAATGCCTGCACTTTAAAGGAGTGGTTTGGGATATTGGCAGTTTGGAGGGATATGTTGTGTATCTTTATACGTATATGCTTCTAAGCTGTTGTATTCTGAGCACCTCTGCAAAAGCAGTGATAAAGTGTGAGTGTGGTGAAAGTGTTGAATGATGATGAAAGTATTTTCTTTTTGGGGATTTTCTTTCTTTTTTGGGTCACCCTGCCTTGGTGGGAGACGACCGACTTGTTGAAAAAAAAAAAAAAAATGTAAATAATGTGCTGAAAATATCTAGCCTAGACAGGACTCGTAGCAATGGTTTTAAGTTGGATAAATTCAGATTCAGGAAGGATATAGGAAAGCACTGGTTTGGTAATAGAGCTCTGGATGAGTGGAACAAACTCTCAAGTACAGTTATAGAGGCTAAAACATTGTGTAGTTTTAAAAATAGGTTAGATAAATGCACGAGTGGGTGTGGGTGGGTGTGAGTTGGACCTGATTAGCTTGTACTACTAGGTCAGTTGCCGTGTTCCTGGGGTGAATGTGACCTGACCTGACTAGGTTGGGGCATTGGCTTAAGCCGGTAGGAAACTTGGACCTACCTCGCATGGGCCAGTAGGCCTGCTGCAGTGTTCTTTCTCTCTTATGTTCTTATGAAACAAAATACAGCTTACTCCAAGAATTCTTAATGTCAAGAAAGATTGCAAAATTTTTCCCTTCACTCAGGTGAAAATGAATTATTGTGAAAGCTTTTGGGCAAGGCAGTATTTTACAGCAGAATTATTGATCATTTGTTCAAAAGTCAAGAATAATTGCACAGAATCATGAATCAGTAACACATTTGCTTTCATGAACATTCCTTTCATGCCACATTACTGGTGCCTATGAAAAATTTAGTAACAGAAACAACTTAGTAATAAAATAACATTTGTTCAACTGAACTTTATATAGCTTCATGTATTAGATGCATTCCAGACCCTTGGCTGCTGCATTAAGCTAAATTAAGTCATAAAGATTTAATTTTACATAATCTTCAATACATTTTGCAAACAGCACTGATAACAAATGGGGAATTTATATTGCACCTGTGAAATTACCAGTATGGGTGGTATGTTGCTTAACCCTTTCAGGGTCGAGAGACCGTCACCTAAACTTGTTCTCAGGGTCAAAAATATTTTGGAAAATAAAAAATCTTATGAAAAGATAGAGAATCTTTTCCCGATCAAATTGACACCAAAAGTATGAAATTTGATGGAAAAGTTACGGAATTATGGTCTTGTGAAGTTAACGGTCTCAACGATGTTTACGCATCGGCGATTTTGCCCACTTTGAGCCCTATTTTCGGCCAATTCCAATGTACTAGTCGACAAAAATCATAACTATTTTAGTAGAACTCCATTTTTTCTATCAAATGAGTACAAGAAACCACCCATTTACCGATTTCAACTATCCAATAAAGTGGCCAGAAATTAGTAATTTTGCCAATTTCACACATTTCAAAAGATGCTAATTTCCAAATAGGGTCCAGAGTAAACAAGACAGACATTCCTTGCACTAAAATAACATTTCCTCTGTTCATTAATCATGTCCCCAGGCCCATCTTACATTTCTTTTGCTTTCCACTTTGGATTTTTTTCTCACAAAAAATAGAAGATTTACTGTTATGCAGACTTCTGCATTAGTGTAGAAATGGTATAAATATCAGTGCACTTGTGAAAGAATATTAGACTCACCAGTTGACCTGTATTAGACGCATGGCATGATTTGTTTACTTCTGAACTTTGGCAAAAATCGAACATTTCTGTTACTTTGAGCTCAGTTTCAAGGTACTTTTCATTGTGAAACCAATCAAAATCATCTCTATTTCTGTAATATGTCTTCCATTCTATAAAATGAGACCAGGAAAACTAGAATACAACCATAAATACCATACGAAAATACAGTGCAAAGTCACTGTTTTAAACCAAAAACGCGGTCAAAGTTTTTTTTTCTCATTACGCACTGTGTGCTGCAGGATTTTTTTATACTGTGCACACTGACCACATAGACCCATTCTTTCATATGTAGGCCTACCAGCTTTCTCTTGCTAGATTTGCAGGTGCTAGAATTTAGGCGTACTAGTTCGTCAATAACCCTGGTTTGTAAGCCGTACTAGTACTTCGGAAGCCCTGAATGGGTTAACAGTGAAATCATATAAAATGAATCTGCATAAAGCAAGAAGAAACCTTAGAAAAGTTGGTCAGCATGTCTTAATGTTTATTCAAGTCATTTATGATTAATCTCTTTTCTTTTTTTAGTTTTGCATTGTGATACAGCTAGCCCTCCACTTTCGTGAGCTTCGAACATTCGTGAATGCCCAGCCCGGCATGTATATGCAATATTTTATGATGTTTTCATGTGTTTTATGATTTTTCGTGGTTCAGTAAGTTAACCCTTAAACGGTCCAAACAGATCGGCATTCAAATTCATAGTGCTACAAAAGTAGATCTACATTTTTTTACATATTTTCAAATATAACAAAAAAATGTAGATAAAAGTTTTTTACACGTTTTCAAATGTAAAACAAAAAAGAAGATATACATTTTTTTACATACTTTCAGATGTTGAAAAAACGTATATATACGTTTGGACCATTTAAGGGTTAAGGAAGCAGTATTGTTAGGCTAAGTAAATGCTATTATTATATTTCCCTCCAGTATATTTGCACATCAAACCATTCACGAATGCTACGGTACAGTATTATTATATTTCCCTACATCATATTTGCGCACCAAACATTCACAAATTTTCAAGATTCGTGAGGTTCTTGTTCCCCTAAACCTCGTGAATGCGGAGGACCTCCCATATACTGAAGAGCATTACTTCTGTTTCAGGTTACAAATAATCTAACTCTAACAATAGGACCTGAGGCAGCTCGTAGAGAATTTCAAGTGACTCATTCAGCATCATGGAGTATAGCCAAAACTAAAGCTCTACTTACTGATGTTAGTGAAGAGCACTTTCCTCACTATTCTCCCTACAGTGGAGTTACTGCCAGAGTGGTTAATAAGCTCTACAGTAAGTACATCATATATGTATAGGCTCCTTAACTTATGAATGTGTTGTCTTCCTAATATTTCAGTTTACAAACAAGTTGTTTATAACCCTGAACTTATTATTCTATAGGAAATCACAGGACAAGGCATAATTGTGTGTTATGTGTCATCAATTTCAAATTGGCAATCATACTGTAAGATAATCATTTTCTCAATTTGTATTATATCTTGGGGAATTTGTTTGTAGATAAGGATCATCATAATTTGGATGGTAGTAAGTCAGGGAGTCTGATACACACAGCAGTGCTCTACATTGTAATCTGGTGCATAATAGAATTATTTATTAGTAGTAACACCAAATAACCTGCAACACAATGTGATCCTTTCATTCCTCTCTTCCTTATTTGCCATATCTTTGTTTAAGCACTGCTCTAGTGATTAGGCTAAGATTATTTTTATTTTATTCAAAGTTGCCGTATAGCCACTGGTATCTCTCTTTTGTTCTATGAAAATCCTAAGGTTATGCTTTTAATTATTTGTAATGTAAAATTTTTATTTTTATTACTCAAAATAACTTCCTCATTGGGTTCTGGCATATGGAATCTAGGATAGGTTATGCACTGTGCATGTTACAATAAATCACTATAATATAAATTTTTACTTATCGATACCAGATTGATGGGTATAAAAGGTTAATGTTATTTTCTATTTTTTTTTTTCAGTAATATCTTCTAATGCAGACTTTGAGTGGAACATTGATCATAAGTTACAGCTCACAGACAGATCCCTGGAAAACCTTATTCTTGCAAAGATTGGCGAGGAATCCCACAAAATCATGGGTAACTTTTATGATCAATCAGAGCAGCTCTTTAAATACCATACAGAACTTGAGGTAAGAAAGCCATTTACTTAAGAAATTTTTTAACATGTGAAAATACCTCATTGGCCAGGGAGGTTCGACCTGCTATGCTTGACATAAAGTCATTTAAACACATCATCTTACTAGCAAACTACTAGATCTGGTGCCATAATACCTACTTTCACTGGGAAGTAGTCTCCCTCTCTTCTGCACACCCTAACCTGAGCCTCACTATCCTCATAAAAATTTTTTACAGCATTTAGTAACTTACCACCTATTTCATATACTTGCAACATCTGCCACATTGCTTCCTTATCCACTCTATCATATGCCTTTTCTAAATCCATAAATGCAATAAAAGCTTCCCTACCTTTATCTAAATACTGTTCACATATATGCTTCAATGTAAACACTTGATCTACACATCCCCTACCCACTCTGAAACCTCCTTGCTCATCCGCAGTTCTACATTCTGTCTCGCCTGTAATTCTTTCAATAATAACCCTACCGTACACTTTTCCTGGTATACTCAGTAAACTTTTTTTTTTTTTTTTCAACAAGTGACTGTCTCCCACCGAGGCAGGGTAACCCAAAAAAGAAAGAAAATCCCCAAAAAGAAAATACTTTCATCATCATTCAACACTTTCACCACACTCACACATTATCACTGTTTTTGCAGAGGTGCTCAGAATACAACAGTTTAGAAGCATACACATATAAAGATACACAACATATCCCTCCAAACTGCCAATATCCCAAACCCCTCCTTTAAAGTGCAGGCATTGTACTTCCCATTTCCAGGACTCAAATCCGACTATATGAAAATAACCGGTTTCCCTGAATCCCTTCACTAAATATTACCCTGCTCACACTCCAACAGATCGTCAGGTCCCAAGTACCATTCGTCTCCATTCACTTCTATCTAACATGCTCACAAAACCTCCTTTACCCCCTCTCTCCAACCCTTTCGAGGACGACCCCTACCCCGCCTTCCTTCCCCTATAGATTTATATGCTTTCCATGTCATTCTACTTTGATCCATTCTCTCTAAATGACCAAACCACCTCAACAACCCCTCTTCTGCCCTCTGACTAATACTTTTATTAACTCCACACCTTTTCCTAATTTCCACACTCCAAATTTTCTGCATAATATTTACACCACACATTGCCCTTAAACAGGACATCTCCACTGCCTCCAACCGTCTCCTCACTGCTGCATTTACCAATTTTTACAATCTCTTTTGTCCCCCTTCCCTTTATATAAAGGAATTATACATGCTCTCTGCCAATCCCTAGGTACCTTCCCCTCTTTCATACATTTATTAATCAAAAATACCAACCACTCCAGTACTATCGCCCCCTGCTTTTAACATTTCTGTCATGATCCCATCAGTTCCAGCTGCTTTAATCCCTTTCATTCTACGTAATTCCTCACGCACTTCCCCCACACTCACATCCTGCTCTTCTTCACTCCTTAAAGATGGTATACCTCCCTGTCTAGTGCATGAAATTACTGCCTCCCTTTCTTCGTCGACATTTAAAAGTTCCTCAAAATATTCCCGCCATCTACCCAATACCTCCACCTCCCCATCTACTAAGTCCCCTACTCTGTTTTTAACTGACAAATCCATTCATTCTCTAGGCTTTGTTAGTTAAAAACAGAGTAGGAAAGTTAGTAGATGGGGAGATGGAGGTATTGTTTAGATGGCGGGAATATCTTCAGGATCTATTAAATGTCGTCGAAGAAAGGGAGGCGGTAATTTCATGCACTAGCCATATATATACAGTGGACCCCCGCCTTATGATATTAATCCATTCCCGAGAGCTCATCGTAAGCCGAAATTATCGTTAGCAGAATTAATTTTCCCCATAAGAAATAATGGAAATCAAATTAATCCGTTCCTAACATGAAAGTATGAAAAAAAACAATTTTTTTACCTCATGGAATATTAATTTTAATGCACATAAACTGAAGAAGACATTCACAATTACTACTCTACTATGAATAGAATACATGACACTTACCTTTATTGAAGATCTGGTGATGATTGATGGGATGGGAGGAGGGGAGAGTATGGAAGTTATTGTTTAGAAGGGGAATCCCCTTCCATTAGGACTTTAGGTAGCAAGTCCTTTTCCGGGTTACTTCCCTTCTTCTTTTAATGCAACTAGGACCAGCTTGAGAGTCACTGGACCTCTGTCACACAACAAATCTGTCCATAGAGCTCTGTACCTCCTGTTCCTTTAAGACTTTCCTAAAATGAGTCTGTGGAGACAAAGAACTTTGTCCTTGGAAGCAAAGAGGGGAATGTATGAGAGTATAGTTTTACCAACACTCCTGTATGGGTGTGAAGCATGGGTGATGAATGTTGCAGCGAGGAGAAGGCTGGAGGCAGTGGAGATGTCATGTCTGAGGGCAATGTGTGGTGTGAATATAATGCAGAGAATTCGTAGTTTGGAAGTTAGGAGGAGGTGCAGGATTGCCAAAACTGTTGTCCAGAGGGCTGAGGAAGGGTTGTTGAGGTGGTTCAGACATGTAGAGAGAATGGAGCAAAACAGAATGACTTCAAGAGTGTATCAGTCTGTAGTGGAAGGAAGGTTTGGTAGGGGGTCGGCCTAGGAAAGGTTGGAGGGCGGGGGTAAAGGAGGTTTTGTGTGCGAGGGGCTTGGACTTCCAGTGGGCATGCGTGAGCGTGTTTGATAGGAGTGAATGGAGAAAAATGGTTTTTAATACTTGACGTGCTGTTGGAGTGTGAGCAAAGTAACATTTATGAAGGGATTCATGGAAACTGGCAGGCCGGACTTGAGTCCTGGAGATGGGAAGTACAGTGCCTGCACTCTGAAGGAGGGGTGTTAATGTTGCAGTTTAAAAACTGTAGTGTAAAGCACCCTTCTGGCAAGACAGTGATGGAATGAATGATGGTGAAAGTTTTTCTTTTTTGGGCCACCCTGCCTTGGTGGGAATCGGCCATTGTGTTAATAAATAAAATAACATTGTCATTGTACAGGTTGCCAACATGGCTTGCAGTAGTTGTGTCAGGGTGATTTTCATCTGTAAAGGTTTGCAGTTCAACCTACTTTGCACACATTTCCTTAATCTTTGAAGTAGGCAACTTCCTCAATTTCTCTCTCCCCTCCTCTTAAGCGGTTTCCTCAGGTCTGCCCTCTTGCTGTTGAAGATGATCTTGCAGCTCATCAGTGGTTAGTTCTTCATTGTCCTCCTCCACCAACTCTTCCACATCCTCCTCACTAACCTCCAACCCCAAGGACTTCCCCAATGCCACAATGGATTTCACAACTGGCATACGCTTCTCAGGGTTAGCCCTAAACCCTTCAAAATTCCTTTCTTCTACACATTCTGGCCACAATTTCTTCCAAGCAGAGTTCAAGGTCCTCTTAGTCACTCTCTCCTAAGCCTTACCTATAAGGTTTACACAACTGAGGATACTAAAGTGATCTTTCCAAAACTCTCTTAGAGTCAGTCGAGTGTCTGAGGTCACTTCAAAGCGCTTTTGAAACATAGCTTTTGTGTAGAGTTTTTTGAAGTTTGAAATGACCTGCTGGTCCATGGGCTGTAGGAGAGGAGTGGTATTAGGAGGCAAAAACTTGACCTTAATGAAGCTCATGTCCCCAGAAAGTCTCTCTGCCAAGTCTGAAGGATGACCAGGAGCATTGTCTAATACCAGGTGGCACTTAAGGTCCAATTTCTTTTCCACTAGGTAATTTTTCACAGTGGGGGCAAATGCATGGTGTAACCAGTCATAGAAAAAGTCCCTAGTGACCCATGCCTTACTGTTTGCCCTCCACAGCACACACAAATTAGCCTTGAGGACATTGTTTTGCCTGAACGCTCTGGGAGTTTCAGAGTGATACACCAATAAAGGCTTCACTTTGCAATCACCACTGGGCATTAAGCACACATCAAAAGATTTAAACCTGTCTTTCATAGGCTTATGTCCTGGGAGTGCCTGTTCCTCCTGGGGTAATGTAGGTCCTGCTTGGCTTTTTTCTTCCAAAACGGGCCCCTGTTCGTCGCAATTAAACACTTGTCCAGGTTTCAATTTTTCCCACTGTCTATGTACTTGAATTCCTTCACATATTTTTCAGCCGCTTTGTGGTCCGAACTGGCAGCCTCAACATGCCTTATCACACTATGTATGCCACTACGATTTTTAAAAATTCTCAAACCAACCTTTGCTGGCCTTAAATTCATTCACATCACCACTAGTTGCAGGCATTTTTCTAATTAAATCGTCATGCAACTTTCTAGACTTTTCACATATGATCGCTTGAGAGATGCTATCTCCTGCTATCTGTTTTTCGTTTATCCACACCAATAACAGTCTCTCAACATCTTCTATCACTTGTGATCTCTGTTTCAAAAACAATTTGCACCTTTTGAAAGGGAACAGCTTCTTTGATTGCCATTTTGTTGGCCAAGATAGTAGCAATAGTTGATTAGGGTTTGGTATACAACCTGGCCAGCTCTGAGACACGCACTCCACTTTCGTACTTAGCAATTATCTCTTTCTTCATTTCCATTATAATTTTCACCCTTTTTACCATAGGGTTAGCACTAGATGCTTTCTTGGGGCCCATGGTGACTTATTTTGCAGTTCTTTTTTTTCTTTCAAAAACACGGCCCGTATCCCACCGAGGTGGGGTGGCCCAAAAGGAAAAACGAAAGTTTCTCCTTTCAAATTTAGTAATATATACAGGAGAAGGGGTTACTAGCCCCTTGCTCCCGGCATTTCAGTCGCCTCTTACGACACACACGGCTTATGGAGGAAGAATTCTGTTCCACTTACCCATGGAAATATTTTGCAGTTACAAGCACTAAAAAACACTGTGATAATATGAAAATGTACCAAATGTATGCTTAGATGCGACTGCACTGGCTGGCTTGTAAACACGGGCACCATGGGGCAGCTGAGGCCATACGGGGGGATGCATCCCGAAAGAATCAAGTAAGGCGAGGCAAAATTTTTGCGTTCAGACGCTTCGTATGGCGGATTTAACATAACGCGATGA